TTCAGCAGGTCGGCGGCGATGCTCGCGTCGATTCCCGGACAGCCGGACACGAAGGTGTGCACCTCATGCATGCACTGGATGTATCCCGCGGCGAAGCGCTCGTTAGCTTCGCGGTTCACGCTGTCAGCTTCTGCGGAGGAGAAACGCGGCGTGACGTCACGACCCAAATACATAGGCTACGACTTGCAAGCAAGCCTGTATGCAGTTAATAATGTTAATTTGATCATGTGAATATGTAATACCTCATGTTCTTGTGGCATTGAATTAATAAAGCGTTTAAAAAAAAAAGCAAGCCTGTATGAAACTTGATAACAGCTCCTTACCATTCTCTTTGTTTTGCAGGATAGTTTCCACGCGCTTCACGGTCATTTCCAACACATCTGCATTCTCCATTTTTATCTGCGCCTAAAATAAATTAATTAATTAATAACGACGTCAAGGCTCTCTTTGCGCTGTATGTTGGTGCGGGATACAGATGCATGAAGTGATGAATAAACTTACATCCGGGTCGGCTAGCAGTAGCCTCAGCTCCTGTAAACTTTCATTGATGAGGGCGCGTCTCTTTTTCTCCACCAGCGGCTTCCTCGTCTGAAGAGGGAGAGAGAAATGCGTTTAACTTGTGGAAAACGTCGATATATTTGTTTGTGCGATTAAAAAAGGCGCGTTGCGTACCTTTCTGTCTTTTATTCCGTAAAAATCCTCCTCTTGTCTGTTACTGCGGGACGCAGGGGCCATATTGCTGCAGTAAAGAGACCGCTGAGAGGACGCCTGAATGGAGGGCAGATGGTCGGCGGGTTCAATTCGAGACAAAAGTCTGTGCTAACAAGCACTACATATACTGTGCAAAGTGGGCGACTGAATGGGGACATTTATGAGGGCTGATTTACATGTGAATGGACTGACTGGTAACCAATCAACAGCCTTGCCTTTGTGCACTGTAAACCAACCCGCCCTGTGAACCTGTAGATGGACCAGAGGACGATTTAGTGAATAAAATTAAGTAGCCTACAATTAAGTAGATATAACTAATATCTAATTGATAGATAGATAGATAGAACAGACAATGTCATACTGCATAAGTCAATAAGTTAGATAGATTGATAGATAGATAGATAGATAGAACAGACAATGTCATACTGCATAAGTCAATAAGTTAGATAGATTGATAGATAGATAGATAGATAGAACAGACAATGTCATACTGCATAAGTCAATAAGTTAGATAGATAGATGATAGATAGATAGATAGATAGATAGATATATAGATAGAACAGACAATGGCATACTGCAATACTGTCAATAAGTTATTCAGAGAAAAACAATATCCTGACATTAAACTGAGAACAAAGTGATAAAAGTTCAATTGCATCGTTTTTCAGCTCAATTTTCTTCAAATTAATTTAAAAGTGGTCATGAAGAAATGGCAATGATCTCACTCAATTTATTCATATATTTTAAATTAAAAAATCCAACAGATGTAAGTTTTCGAGTTTGGAGGGTTGACACCATAGACTGTATAAAACAGGTTGAAACTTGATGTTATCCTGACTATAGTCAGAACTAAACTCTTCTCAGAGACGTGGAATGGGAAGTGACTGTGAAGACAATGAGGAAACTTCATCCATATAGATGGTATTTATAATCAACACAAGCAAATGAAAGCAATTTTTCAAGTATTTCTCTCAAGAAACTTAATCGGTCACCTATATTGAGACTGACAGATGTTTGTGAGCAATATAAACTGACTTACAATTGCTTGCCTGGACCCTCAATAAGGGGGGGGGGGGTCAAAAAATAAATAGCAAAGACATAATCTGAATGGCTAGCAACCAGAGGCTGGTAGTTTTTATGCATTACATAATAATATAATAATTTCCCCCCAATATGACATTTACAGAACGTAATTCTTTTATTGAACAGAACAAAAGTGCGCTCGCTACTGGAATTGATTTCACTCAGTGCGGAGTTGATCTGATTTCTGCGGCGCGCTCTACTTTACCAGTGTGCGTATGCGGGACATCATCAGTGCTTTGTTATGAGGCCATCTGTGAAAGAACATATGCATGTAATGCAAGACATATGAAAAGGCACGCGTATTGTAGCCTACTGCTGAAATGTAACATCCATGTACACTCTAAAAAATGCTGGGTTAAAAACAAACCCAGTGCTGGGTAAAATAGGGACAAACCCAGCAACTGGGCTGTTTTGACCCAGCGGTTTGGTTAAATGTTTAACCCAACCTTCTGGGTAGTAACCCAACCGCTGGGTTAAAACAACCCAATTGCTGGGGTTGTCCCTATTTTACCCAGCACTGGGTTGTATTTAACCCAGCATTTTTTAGAGTGTAAGACTACTGAAAACTAAACTCTAAGTCAAAAGTCATTTTTACATTCATAATATGTGTTAAGGCTCCATATTTACGTCAGATAGCGAATCCCATTGTTTTAGTGAATAAAAGAAAGCAAATGAGTTACATTAATTTTATTACAGTTATTGAATATAGGCTATTTAGCCTAGTTAATAGCCTATGATATATTATATTGGTTGCCATATATACACTTTTGTCTAATTCATTCGTTAAGTAAAAAAAAAAAAAAAAAAAGAGGAAAGTCTCAGCAGAATTGAAGGTCACTAAATCAAACTTTTAAATCTACAGTGCTATGATAAAACATGAAATTCAAAATTATTTTCTGTTTCAATAACCCGAATTTTTTTTGATTATGCTTCATTTGCGCTGTTTGTGGATTATAATTAATAGATTATAACCTGCATCAGAGCCATAAAAAGCATTAATCAGTGTCAAGTTATTTATTGACTTCCGGCAGTCTGATGCAAATCAGAACGCGTAGTAGAGCACCGTAAACGGCTAAAATAGAACCGGAATGCACGTCCATTTGTGGAAGAAAAAAAATCCACAATAAAAGTCCAAGAAGGGACCAGGCGGAGATGAATGGCTGATTTAGAAAAATCCCGTGGGATATATTTTTTTATTATTCCAACTTAGTACAATTGAAAAATTATTTTAAATCTGTGCAAGTTATTAAATTGTATATTTTCTGTTAATGTGCGATCACATCCATGGCGAGATAATTTTTTGATATATAATTCAAGGTTATTAATTTGACAAATTAACTTGGCACATTAAGATTTCTCACTGTCATTGTTATGCAAAATATTATTAGACTAGATTTATATCTTAACTATGCACCAATAATGTAATGTACATCAATGCGTAGTAATGCAAAACATAATAATTTGAATCTTTAAATTGCATCAATAATACCATGTTAAAGAGTTACATTTATTATGCAGGATGGTTTTTCTTGAACATGTTAAGCAAAATAGGCATTGTGTAGGATGTACTAAAATTCTGTATATTAAAAATTGCAAATTTTATCTCAGGAAAAATCTTATGGGAATGGATGTAGATTGAAAATCTTAAAGAATGGATGTATAGATGGATGGATTATTCTTGAGCTGATTTAAAAGTGCTTTTCCCCGAATAATTATTGTTTATGGTTGCATTTAGAGTAAGAATAAAGAGTTGTCATTTTGTCCTTTGGAACATAATTCGAATCTGAACGGGTTAATAGACAAGACCTTTTTTATTGTCAAAACTGTAAGTGATACTAATTTTAGAAAGCAGACGCCGATTGGTGGGCTCTTACTTTGAAGTGTACCGGAAGCGAGGGAATCCTCTTTAAGTTCGCCCGCCCTCTGTCGAGTACTTCATTCACAGCTCAGAACCGTCCTTGGTGATACAATCACTGCTGGACGTCCTAACCGCAGAAAACTAGGAAGAAGCGTCAAAATGGTGAAGATATCCTTTCAGCAAGTAACTGCACAGAAGCCGGAAAAGGAGAACGATGGAGACAAAGAGGAAATTCACATGCCGTACTCTCACGTGAGTTATAGCGTCCTATTTAAATACCCATTATTGTCTATTGTTTTGTTGTCTGCTGTGAAACCGTCCTTTGTTTCGTCTCGTTCCTCCAGGCAAAAAGAAATCAAAAATGTAAAAAAAGCAAAAATATATTTTTTATTTGAATTCATATTTATGTTTAACGTCTGCTTGAGAAAAAACAACATTTTAAAAATTGGACTTTAAAAGTGCTATTATGTCTCTAAACTAATTAGGCGATTAATAGACAAAACTGAAATGTATATCTAATCTATAATATCTGAATATAATATTATTGTATAACAATAATGATTATTATTCTTATTCCATTAAATATTATTCACTTTGGAATGCTTGCTTGTGCATGTTTGAAGTAAAAATAATGTATAAACGGATTGCGCATTATAGATGTGAAGCAGTGTTGAGATTCACAGGAAAACATCCATTCATTTGTCTTAGTGTTGGAATTGACAGAAAAAATGCTGACAGCAGATCTCATAATTTTCTTATTTCTGTGAATGCATCCGTTTGTCTTTATTTGCCTGTTACAGAATGATCAATATCAGATGTCTTAACTGAACAACACGGATTTTTATGAATATATTAATATTAAAGTATATGTTCTACACGTTGGCAGGCTTAGACCTGCAGTTCTGCATTGGTTTACAGCTGATAGATGCGAGCCAGTATTGAGATGCACAGCAGGATGACATTCCATCATCCCTCAGTGTGTAGCCGCCACTGCAGATTAGTGCCCAACAAATCGGCTTGAGCTGCATTTGTGTGTATGTGTGTGTGTCCTCTACATGGACGCTTTCTATTTGTTCCCATGATAGTAGCTATTCAACGGCAAACCTTTTTATCATCACTTGACTTGCGCTGTAACAGTGCAGATGACCGCAGCCTTTTGTTCTGAAGTGCCTGGAACGCTCAATACTCGCTCCAACCCGAATAGGCGCACGCTTGATCCTGCCAGCCGGCGGGGGGAAAATAGGATCTTTGCCTTCACAAAATGGATGCCCTGACATCCGTCATTTTTTTTTTTTGTCTGAGTGTTGTAATCGGCTCTGAGGAATATAATGCAGACAGCAGATACACTAATTTTCTCATTTCTGAGAATGCATCAGTTTATAGCCATTGGAAGCTGTTGAAGTGCATCAGAGCTTTAGGATTTTAAGTAAAAAGCTTAATAAAGTCCATTTATTAGAATTCAACTGGGAGTATCTGAAAGCTACAAGCGTTTAATCAGTGTTGGGGAAAGTTACTTTTAAAAGTAATGCGTTACAATATTGCGTTACTCCATAAAAAAGTAACTAATTACGTTACTTAGTTACTTTTATGGAAAGTAATGCGTTATGTTACTTTTGCGTTACTTTTTAAATCTGGACAGGGCTTGCTTGTTTGTTTTTAAAATAAAAAATTTCTATTTTTGGCAAATATAAAAGCCTTTTCACACCAAAAGTGAAATGAATAAGCCTCAGGCTGAAGGGAAAGTAAATTTACGTCCGTACAGTAGAATGCAGAAGAAGAAATTTCAACACACTTCAGCAATAAAAAAAGGACACACATGTTTGTCTGGAGTAATTTTTGCTTATTAGTATGGTTGAATTGGATCATCGAAGAACAGAAGCAAAGACATTGGTTAATAGAACGGGATTAAATTCATAAAGGATATTTGTGTTGTTTAACATTTAATTATTGCAGGGTTGCGTCATATTCTGAGTTGCATTATTTTTATTCATTTTGAGGAATACTGAATCTGTGTTTTTTGTGAGTGAGATGAATTAATGCATATTCATATTTATTTTAGAACTACAGTAACATCTTCTGATTTCTGTCACCATGGCGACACCAGAGCTGTCAATCAATAAATTGGAAAAAAAGTAACTTGCGTTACTTATTTGAAAAAGTAACTCAGATATTCTCTTGTAAATTAAAAAGTAATGCGTTACTTTACTAGTTACTTGAAAAAAGTAATCTGATTACGTAACTCGCGTTACTTGTAATGCGTTACCCCCAACACTGGTTATAATGTAGGACAT